CACACCAATATAACAGCTTTTGTCACTAATTGTGGCTAGAGAAAAACGGCCCCGAAATAAAGTTCAGATAAACGATACTCCTTATAGTGACCCTATAGGACATAATAAAACTGCCCCATAGGGTTTCCAAGGTTGCATGACTTTAAAGGAGCAGACTGACACATCTGTCTCCCAAGGAGCCGTTGTGGGGTCAAACTGCTGACCTTACAATCTGCAGCCCAGCACTAAGCCCACTGCGCCACCAGAAACCAAACCCGCTGCTATCCGGAGAACTAACTGCTCTGTGGAGTTTCTGAGATTGTAAATATTTACAGACGCAGACTCCCCCAGATAGCTGGCAGGTGCAAACTGCTGACATTCTGGTTTTGAGCCCAGTGCTTAACCCACTACCCTACTAAACACGAAAAAACAAAGCCACAAGTTGATTCTGACTCACAATGACCAGTATAGAGTTTCCAGGGCTGCAAATATTTACGGGATCAGGTGGCCTCGTTTGTCTCCCATGGAGCAGCTGGTGGTTTTGAACCACTGACCTAGTGGTTAGCAACTCAATGCTTACACTACTACCCACCCAGATCTCCTTAAAACAAACTATTCCCTATGTGAATTCCATTAATATCGCTTAGCATTGTGCGTTGTTGTTAGATGCCATTAGGTTGGTTGTGACCCTTAAGGCCCTGTCTATACACAGTGAATGAAACACTGCCTCATCTTGTGCCATCCTCACAATTGTTCTTATCATTCCATCTCCTTGAAGACCTTCCTCATTTCACTGCACCTCTACTATACCAAGTATGATGTCCTTCTCCGGGGACTGGTCAGTCCTGACAACGTGTCCAAAGTATGTGAGATGAAGTTCTGCTATCCGGCCTCTAAGGAGCACCGTGGCTGTGCTTCTTCCAAAACAGATCCATTTACATTATACAGAGGCAGCACATTTTTAAAAAATCTTAAACAATTGCTTCTGTCAAAAGTAAACAATGTGAGAAAAAAAAGTAAACAGTGTGCCAGTTAGGTTTGACATTAACATACAAATTTTTTAAATGTTTTTTTTAAATCGTTTTATTGGGGGCTCGTACAACTCTAATCATAATCCATACATACATCCTTTGTACTTTTGTTGCCATCGTCATTCTCAAAACATTTTCTTTCTACTTGAGCCCTTGGTATCAGATCCTCATTTTCCCCCTCCCTCTCCACCCCCCCACCCCACGAACCCTTGATAATTTATAAATTATTATAATTTTGTCATGTCTTACACTGTCCGACATCTCCCTTTACCCACTTTTCTGTTGTCCATCCCCAGGGAGGGGGTTATATGTGGATCCTTGTGATCAGTTACCCCTTTCTACCTTACCTTCCCCTTACCTTCCTGGTGTTACTACTCTCATTATTGGGAGAAAATAGGGAAAAAAGACGTGTATAGCTGGGGAACTAGGGCACTAACCCACCCAAGGGGAAGGTATTGTTTATATCTCCACAGACTTCAGCCCGGTGCTCCAAGAGGTGAATTTAAATGTATTTTTATGACGTATCCTCGCAGCCACGGAATCAGTGCTGACTCATAGCGACCCCTGTGGTTTCGAGACTGGAACTTTGTGCAGAGTAGAAGGGCCAGTCTTCCTTCTGAGGAGCTGCTGGGGGTTTCGAACTGCTGACCATGCAGATCGCAGCCCAACTCAATTGCACCACCTTTGTGAAATATAGGCCTCAATTATTTGACATTTAGTTTGAGATGGGTGTTTGATAATTCACAGGCTAACTATCATGCTGCAGACATGTTAAAATCAATATCCTTCACTCTTTATAGATTAAATACTTGATTTGATCTATATAAAATTACAACCCAAAGCACCTGTTGCTTAACCCTGTTTATTAGAGAAAATATTACTGTAGACCAAGGTGAGTGCAGACAAAAGTACATTGAAATAAATGCTGTAACAATTTTGCAACAGCCATCTAACAACCAAGACGTGTGTTTGTATTAGTTATGTATAAGAAGGCATATGTGGGTATATGGGTATGCATTTGTAGATACACGAGGGGGTACCCCGCAAAACAATTTTTTTTTCCAAACCTATTTAAATTTTTTCACAAAACAACCTTATCATCTTCAAAGTACTCTCCATTGCACAATACATTTGTCAAATCTGTGATTCCATTCTTGGAAACGTTTTTCAAACTCATCTGTTTGGATGGCTGACAGTAAGTACTTCCTTCGTTTTTTCTTTGCTTCTTTTTTTTTAAAATCATTTTATTGGGGGCTCATACAACTCATCACAATCCATACATACATCAATTGTGTAAAGTACATTTGTACAATCATTGCCTTCATCATTCTCAAAACATTTGCTCTCCACTTAAGCCCCTGGCATGAGCTCCTCATTTTCCCCTCCCTCCCTTTTCTTTGCTTCCTCTATGTCATCAAATCATTATCATTTCATGTCTCTCTTCATTCATGGAAACAAAAAGAAGTCTTACGGAGCGAGGTCAGGTGAGTAAGGTGTATGGGGCAAGAGAGGCATGTTGCTTTTTGCCAAAAAATGGCACACTGAGATGGCTGCATGAGCAGGTGCATTGTCATGGTGGCAAAACCAGTCCCCCATCTGCCACAAATCAGGCCTTTTTTATTGCACACTGATACACAATATTTTCCAAACCTCTAACTAGATAGCTTGATTAACAGTCTGACCTAGTGGAACGAATTCCAAATGCTCTATGAGTCAACATTTTTGTCAATTCAGGAAGTTGACAGATGTCCACAATGAGGTCATCAGTTGATATTTCACCTTCTTTTGTTTGTTTGTTTTTATCGCTTAATTAGGGGCTCATACAACTCATCACAATCCATACATACATCAATTGTGTAAAGCATATTTGTACATTCATTGCCCTCATCATTCTCAAAACATTTGCTCTCCACCTAAGCCCCTGGCATCAGCACCTCATGTTTTCTTCTCCCTCCCCACTTCCCCCTCCCTCATATTTCACCTTTTTTGAAATGAGAAAAACACTCATACATTTGAGTTTTTCCCATAGTGATGTCCTTATAAGCTGTGTTCAGCATCACAGCAGTTTCTGCAGCATTTTTCTCAAGCAGGCAGCAAAATTTCACAGCCACATGCTGTTCCTTTAAATCAGATATCACAAAAAAACATGGTTTGAGCAAAAGCGCTTTCATGAAAACATTCACTGTGACCAGAGAGAACCTTCCCAGGTGATGCCACTGGGTGCACTAACTCAGAGCAAGTTGCTGGATGCTCACCTACCATGAAAAAATGTGTACTTTGAAAACTCCATGCTGTCTACTGTAATTCTGGGTTTTGGGGGGTACCCCCGTGTGTGTGTGTGTGTGTGTGTGTGTGTACATATTCATATGGGATGCATATATATTTATACACATAAAAGATTGGGCTATAAAATAATATAACACGTTAGTATTTTATTTCTTTAAAGAATCTATTATGAGACCAATTGGCATACAAATGTAAATGTTTCAACACAACAATACAGTGCTGTAGGCAGTACCTCATCTATGCCAAGTAACTTGGAAGACAACTACCAGGCCAACCAATTGGAAGAGATCCCTATTTGTGCCCATTCTGATGAAAGGTGACCAAGTAGAATGCGGAAGTTATTGAACAATATCATGTAATATATTGCATGGAAGTAATAGAACATGCAGGTAAACTTTTTGCTGAAGATAGTTCAAAAGCAATTTCTGCAGTACATTAACGGGGAGCTGCCAGAAATCTAAGCCAAATTCAGAAGAGGGCATCGAATGAACGATATTGCTGATGTCAAGTGGATCTTAACTAGAAGCAAGGAATACTGGAAATATGTTAATTTGTACTTTATTGACTATACAAAGGCATTCGACTGTGAATGATGTTGTGATGAATTGGAAATCTCAGAACACTTAATTGTACTTATTCAGAACCTGTACACAGACCAAGAGTCAGTCGTTCAGAAAGAAGGAGGGGACAATAAATGGTTTGAAATCAGGACAGGTGTGCATCAAGGGTGTATCTTCTCACCATGTGTATTCAGTCTGTGGGCTGAGTCACTAATCAGAGAACCTGGGCTATCTGAAGAAGAAGAATGGCATCAAGATGGAGAAAGGTTGATAATAGCCTTTGATTTGCAGATGGCACAGCCTTGCTTGCTGAAAAAGAAGAGGTCTTGAAGCACTTGCTGATGAAGACCAAAAGCTGAATCCTTCAGAGTGGATTACACCTCAGTGTAAAGAAAAAAAAACCTCAATAAATAACCAGTAATAAATAAATAAATAATCATGATAAATTAAGAAAAGATGGAAAGTCTTCCAAGACTTCATCGTACTTGGAACCACGATCAACACTTGTGGAAACAACAGCCAAGAAATAAAATGGCATGCTGCAGTGGGGAAATCTGCAAAAGACCTTCGAGCAAAAATGCCACTTTAAGGATGAAGATATGTATCTGACCCACACCATAGTCTATTCACACGCCTCAATGCATGAAGACCAGAGAAGAATCGATGCTTTTGAACGGTGGTTGGTGAATAATAGTGAGTATAGCACGGCTGCCAGAAAAACAAATACAGTTTCAAAGAAATACAGCCAGATGGCTTCTTGGAATTGAGGATGGTGGGACTTCATCTCTTTTTCTTTTGACCTATTAGCAGGAGAGACCACTTTGCTCTGTAAGGTGGTTGATCCGTAGAAAAGAAGAAGGTAGAACTGATTCAGCCGTGCCTCACAACAACGAGGCCAAGGGGTCAACAGCTGAAAGCAAAGATGGGAACCTAGGTGGGTCAAGGGGCAAAAGGCAGTTAGGTTAGTAGCGATAGAACAAGAATGAAAATAAAGCATGAGAATGATAACACTTTGTGAAGAGGGTAACCAGTGTCACGGAGAACCTCATTTTGTGTCAAATTCCATCAAAAATTCAGTAAAATTTAAAATTGGTGTGTGTGTATGTATAAATCTAATGTGTATTAAATTTCTACTTTCTTATAGAGCACTTAAAAGAAAAGCTAGATGATTACATTAAGCCGTGGAATGGCCTGGTGAAGGTATTTCGGAATGAGAGAAGAGAAGGTTTAATTCAAGCACGAAGTATTGGTGCTCAGAAGGCTAAACTTGGACAGGTAGGAAATATTTGATACCTACAATGTCAACATTTTGGACTTAAAAACCAAAATATATACATTTTAAATTACCCCTCAATTAATTTATTATTATTGTTGTTGAAATAAGAACGTTGGCTTACGTAGTTGAATTCCTGTGTCATGATTGACCAACGTGTTAAATTTCCGTTAGCATCTAATTTTAAGTTGCATGTGATATCTGATGTATCATAAATGAGGAGTGTTCTTTCACCCTGCCTCTCTTTTTTAAGGTTTTGATATACCTTGATGCCCACTGTGAGGTGGCAGTTAACTGGTATGCACCACTTGTAGCTCCCATATCTAAGGACAGGTAAAACATTACCTTGCTTTTTTCTTTTTTTCTTTTCTGATTGAAAAGTAAAGTAAACCTCCTCCTAGAAGCACCAATACTGTTCTCATGAGTCTGATTCCAGTTCCACGTACAACATCAAGCATTGCATTTTCAGATGTCATCATTGAGGTCGGTGTTCCTTGGATGGAGCACCTCTGATGCTTGGCACTGATTGAAATGGAGGTGCGCAGGCATGTGGGATAAGCCGAGGTGCTTCAGTGACCTCGCGGTTGGGTCATTGACTAGACTTCCTCTACCTCTAAAAACGCTTTTACTGGGTAATATTAATATTACCCTTTTAACTGGGGTAAGAGTTTGAAGATATGAGGAAGTGTGCTTTAAAATCAAACCTACTGTTTTCTAAATTATTACATTGGGTACTATTGTGTTTGGTATTATGTTGAATTGAGTTGAGCCAACCCAACTTGTGTCGAGTCTGGGTTTCTACAGAAATTTTAAATTAGAAACTAATCAACTAGTCCATGAAAATAAAGTGGCCACCATTAAAAGTCTAGGAAGGTCTGAAACAACAGAAGACAACATTTAGCTAGTGCCAAAAGCGTCCCCTACTTCTTCTAGTCCTTAATCTAGCAAAGACATCTCTAAATGGTATAAGTCAAAGAAAGAGCTGTAGAGAATTTAATCATCAGAAGACTTCATGTAGAAGCCTGTCATAAATATTTTTTCATGTGCTATCTGATTGAACTCTCACGGCAATCTTGCAAGATAATATTCTACCCTCCATTTTACAAAAGAGCATACTGAAGCTTAGAAAATCAAGGCATTTTCTTCCAGTCAGGTAGTTAATAAACTATTACACCTAGCTCAGACACTTGGCATTCTCCATTTATTTAGAAATGTGAGGATCATAAGAAAAGTTAAGGTTGCCCTTTATCTCTCCAGGATAAGACTGCTAGTCATTGGGGTGGCATAACAGAGGTTTTTCAGTGAACCTTCACTGCCATGGGAGGAGCTGCACTCTGAAGCACACATCTTAAATCCACTTCCCTCACAACAAAGTTCCAGACCCCATGGCATCATTTTTCTCCCCTTTGCTTGGTTTCTAAACATCCAGAGCATGGTATTATATGGTTATGAAAAGCCATCATTGCCATTGTGAGAAGTGCATTTTTCAAGCCCTTGCTAATGTATGATGAAGCAGGCAGGGTGCCAATTTATCTTTATAATGCTGACTCCTCACCTAATTGACTTTCAAGCCCACAAGCCCAAATACAAAGACATTCTTGGCTCCAAACTTTTAGGCCATTACTTTAATTCTTCAGCAGACTTTAAGGGATTTTGTTTTGCTTGTTTGTTCACTTTTTTAAGCAAAAATACGTTTTTTTTCTGCAAGAAAAGCTGTTTTCATAGGTACGAGAAGAAAAGCAATAGTACTGAGACATTTTCATAATAACTGTTTCCCCAGGATTAGAAAGCAACGAACAAGTTGATAGTAGCACTACCAGTAATGTCGCAAAGACTGTCTGCCTACACATGTACACACACACTTTCAATGTAGGAAAGGGGAAATGACACACGAGAGTCTTGTAACTGATCAGCTTTTTTTTAATGATACCAAATTACCCGAAGAAAGTTGTCTGTACAGTAAAAGCAGAAAGGAGGAAGTTCTGTAAAGTTCAAGACCTGACTGTTTGCCCTACTGTTTTGTCTGTAGAACTAGGGATTCCCTTAGGAAATCCTAGCATTCCCATAGGAAATCAGGCCCCTTGACTTTCACGGGAGAGTCGTTGTCTTCTGTTTCCCGTTCACTGCAACAGCCCCTAGTGCAGAAACAAGCAGATCCACGACAAAAAGAGATAATATGGTTAGGCATGCTGAACTCGTCAGTTTTGCGTTCTTAAATGCATTTTCGTTTTCTGTAAATGTTTCAGAACTACATGTACTGTGCCTCTAATAGATTACATAGATGGGAATGATTACTCCATTGAACCACAGCAAGGTGGGGATGAAGATGGTTTTGCCAGAGGGGCCTGGGACTGGAGTTTACTTTGGAAACGTATTCCTCTGAGCCACAAGGAAAAGGCCAAAAGAAAACATAAAACTGAACCTTATCGGTAAAGTTTGTTTTTGGGCACTGTTGTTGTTAGACGTTTGTATATCTAAGTACTGTTTGTTTGTTTTTCCTTCTCCATGACCTCGTATAAATGTGGGGGTCCATATACACCCTTCCATTTTGTCTTTGCTGCCATCATCAACACAATACAGAACCATTTGCACTGTGCCGCTTATAGATGTCATAAATGGCAACACATACGAAATTGTACCCCAAGGGGGTGGTGATGAAGATGGGTATGCCCGAGGAGCATGGGACTGGAGTATGCTCTGGAAACGGGTGCCTCTGAACGAGCAAGAGAAGAGAATGAGAAAGACAAAAACTGAACCATATCGGTAATCACTAAATCACTTACATATTTTTCTTTTCTCCACTAAGTGCTAATCTACTAATGAACTGCTAAGCCAAAATTACTTACTAAAACTGTCTGTGTTGTCTCCGATTTTGAAAGAACATCCTTGCTTGCACTGTGAGAGCTTTGAATTCACAGTTGTTTCCTTGTAATTGGCTTTACCACGAATGCAAGCCCTACTCCATAATTACACTTTTCCGTTGAGGGAAAAATAATAATGTTAGATGGTAATCATTCCAAGTGCAAGTACAGAAAAAAGGATCTCTGCTCTTCTGCCCTTGTAGAGTAGACATCAAATGCTATCCTTTTGATAATTGAACTATTCCATACCTTCAAAATACCATAAATTACTTAAAATCCAAGGCTTTTGTTTCTACTTTAATATTAACAATGAAAGGCACTAACAAAGGTTGGGGTTTTTTTATGTTTACCTTTTATATATAAATACTAATTTGGCCCCAGTTAAATCTGATGAATAAAAAGATGTGATTTTAGAAAATAGAACAGAGAACCCTTTATTGCTTCATTATCAGAGCCCACCCAAACCACTGTTACTGATTTGACCCCGACTACTCACCTTGAACCTGCTGGCACTGCGTTGGGTTTCCAAGGCGGTGAATCTCCAGTGAAGCCCACGGCGAAAGCTACGGGTGGTCTCCAACCACGGCTCTTCTGGCTCACGACCACACACTTTAACCACTCTACCACCAGGGCTCACGTTCATGCAAGGCTTTGATGAAAACAAGAATACCCACACCAATATCAGCTGTGCTCTTCTTTTATTTCTTCAACTAGAACTGTTTACACTGCTCTGTTCTCTGGGTCGTTTAAACGGAGCGTTTTGCGGTTCAAAAGAGTGCTTCCAAATAGTGCTTCCATTTGCTCAGATGTTAGGATAACCTCGTCCCAGTGACGCCTTATTGCGTTGTTCTGACCCTATGGTTCTGCTTTTGTTCTCTGCCTCTGGCCCACTGCTGGCCTTCAAAGAGCTCTGTCTTAGGAAAGGCTCCTGGTGCCATAGCAATGCCAGCGGGCTCTCAAGATGCAGCAGCTGCTTACTGAGATGGCAAACATAAGGAAATTATAGAAGCTTCGGTTTTACTTGATACTCTGCAAATTTTCATTTGAAGTTCTTATTCTAAATAGTTCAGAACTTCACTTCCTATGTGCTTAACCTAACAAATAATTTGAGGGAAAAATGAAACCTGCTGATTGCATGTATATTTTTAAGCAATTCTGTGGGCAAAGATGGAAACAACTGATCTGGAACAATTTGACCATTTCCCTTAACTCATTAAGGGGGCTTTTCAAATATATACTGAGATGAGTGAAGCTATGTTTAAAGATCAAATAACCTTAGTTAGATAGATTTTAAGTGGCTATAAAATAAATGTGACATTAAAATATAACCAAAAATGTGATGGTGTAGTTTCGTGAGTTACACAGCATTCTTTAAGCAGTATTGAAAATATCCCATAATTTACTTTTTATCCACTTGAGTGACCATCTTAGGGAACCATATCTAGCCACCTCTGCCTCCGCCTTCCATCCATCTTTATCTGTCCCAACACTAACCATTCCTCCCACGGCCCTTTGCTTCTGTGCTGGGTGTGACAATGACTCACGGTAGGGGCATAGAGTGGGGGGTGGGATTCTTAGGGAAGGTGACAGGTTACCCCAAACCAGGATCAGAAAGCGTTACGGATTCAGTTATTGGTTGGCAGCAAAGCCTCTCCTCAGCCAGCAGCCAAGTCTGTCATCCTTAACCACTCAGCTAGCTGCGCGCTCCTTGGTCTCTGCCTCCACAGGTCAGGGAGCAATGCAATGGCAAGACAGACTCTCTGCCTCAGAGGCTCACAGGCTCAGTGCTGCTACTCTCGTGGTCTCTTGCTCGTGGCCTCAGCCTCAGCCACTGCAGACAGAAATGCCAAACGGGTTCCACTGGGTCCCTGAGGTGGCTTTGGTGGAGGTGTGGTTTTGGCCTTTCAGCAGACCACACCCCCGAGGAAAACAGGGTGGTAGCTTGATTCACAACCTCTAGTAAAGTGGAGACTCAGACCTCCTACTTTAATCCTGTCCATTAGCATAGATAACTCCCTCGACAATGGGATTATAAGCACAGGCCTTGAGGATAGAATTTATGATATATCACATAAGGGGTTCGGCTCGGAGGGCCATATTAACTGACCACACCTCAGCACCCAACCGAGAGTTATTGAGTGCTTTCTTGTATGCCAGACACTGTTTGCTAGGAATGCATCTTCAAAAAGTCTTTCCTTGTGGCATGTAAAATGCAATGGCAAGACAGGCATTGTAATGCTGGAAGTGCAACCATGATAAATACTGCGATAAAAATGTACAGGGAACTTGGAGTTTATGACAAGGAGAACCACATCCATACTGCAGGATCAGGAAGGGCCTCCCTGACAAAGGGTCCTTTAGGCTGAAACCTGAGAAGGAGGAGGAGGAGGAGGAGGAAGGAGCATCTCAGCAGAGCAAAGAGCCTAAAAGAGGAGGGGGTTTGGCAGAGCAGCAAGGAGCTCCGGGAAAGATCCAAGGAGGCAGAGTAAAGCACCCTGTCGAGGATCTCACCCTGGCTGCTCTGCGGGTTGAAATTGAAGGAGGACAGTACAGAGTCAAGGAGACAAGTGAGGGAGGTACTTCCCTAGTCCAAGCAACGGTGTTTTGGTCTCTGGTGGCAGCAGGGAAGTTGGAAGGAACAAGAATCAAGATGTTCAAGGTAGACTCGATAGGCTTTCTCTGTAGTGGAAGGTTGGCTAGCAGGTGTGATGATAAGCAAAGGTGCCTCCTAGGAGAATCTAGTGAAGAGCCGTGAAGCATCAATGAGACTCACCGTGTAGGCTGCCTTCCTGTGACCCAGCTGTCACTTCTCTCAGTCGTGGAAGTGACTTGTCCCTAAGAAGCTACCAAGTCTTTTTTCTCTTGTCCCCCGAAAGAACCAAAGTCAGGGTCCTATTTCAACAACCCTCACAACTCACCGGGCTGCCTTACACCCCCCGACACGGTGAATCGCTCTGTCTAATTCTCCCGTGTCGTTTCTGTGCTACATTTGCAAACTCTGGGTGAACTGTGGCTGTTCTGTGATGATTTACATCCTTATTTGGCAAGGCCCTGAACTATAGAATTAAAAATGACAGCCTGCTTCCATGGCGTATGCTTTCGCTCATGCGAGAGGGACTCATAAGTCATGGTGGGGACAGTCAGCAGACCACGGCTGGGTGGCTCAGTGTTTTCAAGACTGAGAGAGAACTTCCTTTATAACCAAAACGGCTTATTTTTAAATCAATAAAGGAACCAAGGCGCCCTCTAATGGAGAACTGAAGCAATGCTCTGATTTAAGATAAACTGTGTACAGAAATTCAATTTCAGTTTTAAATCATACTAAATTTGAGGAAATATTAATAATTTGTGAAGATTTTATCATTTCTTAATGTTTGGCCATCAGGCTTTTGTTTGGGGTTTTGTTTTCAATTGTGTGCATTGAGCTGTTTTCCAAAAGGTTTTTTGTCGGTAAGCATAGAGAATATCAAGGGCTGATTTGTAATGGTTACTGCTGTTTCTTTTTAATAGGTCCCCAGCTATGGCTGGTGGATTATTTGCCATCGAACGTGAGTTCTTCTTTGAATTAGGTCTCTATGATCCAGGTCTGCAGATATGGGGTGGCGAAAACTTTGAGATCTCATACAAGGTAAGATTTCATTGAAACAAAAATAGTTTTATAAGTATTTACTGGTCTTTGACTATCGGTTAAGACTGGTTTCTTTGAGGGGAGGGCAGAAAAGGCAATATGCATTTCTCCAAATTATTAAAAATAAGTAATAAAATGTATATGCCTTTTGATAGCATAAATCAAAATTTGAACTCTGAACTTAACTCTGTACGGGAATAGAAAGCCTCATTTTTCTCCCACAGAGCCACTGGTGGTTTTGAACTGCTGACTTTGTGGTGTGCTGCCCAACTAGTAACCACTACACCACTAGGGCTCCTTCTAGTATGACTAAGGAGTGTATATAAAAGAAGATAAAATGGGCCAAGTCCAATTGGCATAAATTAGTCCACAAAGACAAGGCCCTACATCCTGCTCTGGTGAGTCGCAGCTGGGGGTTTAAAACTTGTGAGCAGTATAACTACTGATCTCTCCCTACATGGAGGAAGGAAAAGTGATAAAAATCAAAGACACATAGAAATTAGTAGGCTAATGGACCACACAAACCTCAGTCTTCACAACTCTGAACCCAGAAGAGCTAGATGGTGCCCAGTTACCACTATCATGTGCTCTGAGAGGGATCATATTAGAAGGTCCTGGAGAGAGTGGGAGAAAAATGTGGAACAAAACTAAAAATTATGAAGAGACGGGGCTCACTGGTTGGCTAGCATGGTAAAACCCCTGTGACCTACATGGCCTATAGTCAACCTTCAGGTCTGGAAATGAACTGACCCCTGTAACTCAATTTTTAGCCAAACAATAGACAATAGGGGAACAATAGCACTAGTGGGGTACATACCTTAGAATAATGACCAGTCATTTGAGATTTTTTAAAAGTCATCATTACTCCCAAGGACAAAGTTCAGACTTATCAGGAAAGAAAGAAGAATGGCGACAGTAAACAGGGAGAACGTGGGATAAGTGATGTTACATTGAGGAGCGTATGAGGAATGAGACTAGACAAAATGTATATGAATTGCTGAATATAAAACTGATGATCTGTCCTGTAAACTTTCACCCAATTCACAATCAGAACTTAAGGGTGATGGTGGGGGTCTAAAGAAAATCTAAATATGATTAAAGAAAAAGTATCAGTGCTTAAATTGTGAACACCCAATTTGTAGAGGACTATGGAAGCCCCAAATCCATCTTCAGAGGATCTAGTCAGATTAAGCCCCTAGCAGACACCCTCTAGCCAAAGGCAAGAGACTCAAATAGCTTTACTGTCAGACAGAGATTATTGTAAACCTGATTATGGTGGATGGAACCATGGTATAATATGATACTTGGTCAGTTGACCTCCCTCTTGACCCAACCTGATTTTGCTCCAGGCTCAAGTATTGCTCACTTGTTCCACAACAGAAATTTCTTCTCTGCCTTTTTAAATGTTGATGGTGGTCTTTTCTTTCTTATTCTTTATTTGTATTTTTATCTTTATATATTTTTTGCTATTATTTTCTTGCCATTTTGTTCTATTTTTGTTTTTTATTGTTTCTGTTGGGTTTCCCAGTTTGTGAAGCACAGAGGATTGGATGTGTAGAGACAATCACTGGTGCAATGGTTTATTGGGGATGGGGCTGGGAGATGGGGGGAGGGCAAGGGGATTTGGGGAGCAATGAAAGCAAGAGGGGGGAGAGAGGATTAGAATTTATGGTGATGATGTATACATAACTCTTAAAAAGTGGTTTAATTACGGAAGTGTATGATATGTGAATACTATATCAAGAAAACTACTAAAAAAGAAAACAAACTTGACCAATGATTACCATGGGTGATAGAGGATACATTGTTGCTTAGGAGGCATTGAGTTTACCTGGGGCTTCCAAAAAGAAAAAGAATAAAGCTCCGTTGGGCGTACTTTCTCAGTATGCATTTTCCCCTCAAGGTGCATTGAACAACTTGCTCTGAGTTAGTGCACCCAGTGACATCACCTGGGAAGGTTCTCTTTGGTCACTGTGAATTTTTTCATAAAAGCAATCTTGCTCATGCCTCATTTTTTGTGATGGCCAATTGTGTTTGTCTGGATTGACTAGAGAAACAAATTCATAGACTCTCATGTATATAAGAAAGAGCTTTATATAAAAGAGTATTTGTGTATTGAGAAAACATCCCAGTCCAGTCCAGATCAAGTCCATAAGTTCAATATTAGCCTACATGTCCAATGCTAGCCCGTAAATTCTTCTTTAGACTCACACAGCACATGCAATGATGCTGAATGTAGGAAGATCACAGGCAGGAGGGTAAAAAAGCCTTGTAGATCCAATGGCAGTGGAAGCATCTCAATGATGGCGCAGGTCTCCATATGCTTCCTCTAGCTCTCTGACAGTCTCAACAGCAGGAAAAAGAAGGCAGAGAGAATGTGTATGTACCTCCTCCAGGGAGGAAGACAGGAGTTCCCAGAATCCTCAGGAGAAGGTCATGCCCACACAAAGGCCTCATTGGCTATGACAGCAGGCCTCAACCCATGGGGGTCAAATTACCCTTCCACAAGGGTCGCCCGATTCATAACAGCAAAATTACAGTTATGAAGTAGCAACAAAAATAATTTTATGGTGGGAGGTCACCACAACTTGTATTAAAAGGTTGCAGCATTAGGAGGTTGAGAACCACTGAGTTATGACCTGATTGGCATGCTAGGCTCCACCCCTTTGCCCTAGTTGACAGGAGATTATGTAACGGCCTTACCAATTTAAGAGAATAGCATGTGGCTGCACATTTTGTTTCCTGCTTGGGAAAACTGCTGAAAAAACTGTTGTGATGTTGTATACAGCTTACAAGGATAGCACTATGGGAAAAACTCAAGTGTATGAGTGGTTTTATTGTTTCAAAAAAAGGTGAAATGTCTATTGATGACAAACCTCATTCTGGACGTCTGTCAACTTCCTGAATGGCCAAAAATGTGGACACCATTCATGTACTTGTGCTCAAAGACTGATGATGGACCATTGAAAAATGGGGAAGTTCTCTGGACTATCTTGGCTCTTGGTTCAGTAAATTGTAATGGAAGATTTAGGAATGAGAAGGGTCGCTACAAAATCTGTGCCTCGGGTTCTGACTGACCAGGAAAAAGAGGGTTGAGTGGAAACATGCTGAGCTTTGAAGCAGCCCAGACTTCTTTCCAAGGTCATTACTGGTGACAAGATATGGTGCTATTCTTATGACCCCGAAAGCAAACATTAATCAAGCCAGTGGAATCATCACCTTGCCCCAGAAAAGCTCATCAAATGAAATCAAAGATCAAGATGATGTTCATTTGTTTCTTTGATGTGAGGGGCATAGTGCATTTGGAGTTCATTCTTCCAGGTCAGACTGTTCATCAAGGTTTTTATTTAGAGGTTCTGAAAAGATTGCATTACAGTGTATAAAAACCAAAAAAAGTCTGATTTGTGGCAGACAGGGGACTGGTTTTTCTACCACGACAATGCACCTGCTCACACAGCCATCTCAGTGTGCCAGTTTGGGGCAAAAAACCAGCATGACTATCTTGCCCTGCATATCTGCACCGTACCTTGCTCCGTGCAACTTCTTTTTGTTTTTCCAAGAATGAAGAGGGACATGAAAGGACAACGATTTGATAACATAGAAGAGGTGAAGAAAAAAATGGGGGAGGTGCTGTCAAATGTTTCCAAGAATGCAATTGCAGATGTGACAAATGTGTTAAGTGTAATGGAGAGTGCTTTGAAGGTTAGGTTATAGGTTGTTTGGTAAAGAAAATTTAAATACATAGCTTTGGTAAAAAAAATTCTGTTTTGAGGGGGTACCCCCTTATATTTTTGTGGTAGTGGAATAATTTGAAAAAGGATATCAATAATTGTTGTTCAGCACAAAGATTATACTCAATGGCACTAAATTATACATGTAGAAATTGTGGAATTGGACAATGTTTTGTTGTGCATATTTTTGCCGCAATTAAATAATTACATGAATAACAGTGAGTGCAAGTAAGAAGAAAACGTTCTCAAATTGATTGAAGTGATGATTGTACAACTCTTCTTGAGACGATTGAATTACTGAAGTATATGACATGTGGATGAAGTGCCAATAAAACTCTTTGTTTTTTGAGAGAGAGATGTCCGGGCCTTATGGTACCTCCTGAAGTGGCTGCAATGGGATACACCCAATACCTCTGACGGAAGTCTGGCCCCTCTCCAAAATTAAACCCGAACAAGCTCTAGCCTGGATAATCAGTCTAGCTATTTATAGAAAATGCAGAGGACTTACAAACATGTTCAGAGGCATCGTGGAGATAACAATAGACAGGGTCCAAAGTTTGAGGTGGTCGACAGGACAAGTTACCTGGCTAATCAAATGAACAAAGTAGGAAGGGAACAAAGGGAGGAGAACCCAGAGACGAAGAGAGAGTTTAAGAGATGTAACCAAATGCAATGTGTAGACTCTCTTTGAATCTTGATTTAAATAAACCAATTATTGAAAACACATAAGCAAACAGAGAAAGACAAGAAAATGTGAATACTAAATAGGTGATAATTTTAAGAGTCCTTTGAAATTTACTGAAGTATAATGGAACTTTTTTTTTTCCCCTGCCTGGCATTTGTTTTAAAGAAAAACTGTCTCAAGTAGATTTAACAACATAGGCCATGTGCCAAAGCCGGGGTGGGTATATGGAGGCCTCTTCTGTCATTTCCCTACATTAAAGTAAAAAAAAAATCAAGAAGATAAAGTGGACAGGTATGTTAGGATCATATTTATGAGAGCTTTTAATGCTGAGCTAAAAGATTTTTACTTAATTTGATAAGCAGCGGAGATCCACTGATGATATTAATCAAGGGACTAACGTGCCTCAAAGCTGCCCTTCAGCTGGCATGATCCGCGTGCTATAAATAAGGGTAGATTTGAGTTGAGAGAAGCTGGAGGGTATTATAATAATCACCCAGGTGGGGAATGTATGAGCGATGGAAATTGTAAATGAAGGAGCTGCATGACTTTGCACGGGTACATTGGGAAAGGTTGCTAGGAGCTCTAAGGAGAGAGGACGAGACCCCGTAGTTGCAATCCATTAATGTACTCCCTGTGGCCTTCTGCGCTGTTATATGTTTTATAAATCAAGCCAATTATTTCAGAATCTGTTTGGTTTATGAACTTTCTGTGGGCATTATTTCCCATTTAGATTTAGATTTGTAAGACAAAGCTTCTGTTTTACATCTCAATCAATCCCCCTTGTCTTTTCCCTTGGTAGATTTGGCAGTGTGGTGGCAAATTGCTGTTTGTCCCTTGTTCTCGTGTGGGACACATCTACCGTCTTGAAGGCTGGCAGGGAAATCCTCCCCCACTGTACGTGGGGTCTTCCCCAACTCTGAAGGTGAGTCTGTTCAGTAAAAGAGGAGAAAGCTACAGAGGTAGGCCGCGGGTTCTTATGGTCTCTTCACAGATGTCAGCTCACTGAGCAGTTGTAAGCAGTCATGCTAGTCCTCACCTAAAATTTAGACCATGTTTACTCTTGAAATAGCTTACTGTTCTTAAAAATTATTCATTATATCTCATCTAATGAAAGTAGAATTTCTTTTTTTTTAATCATTTTATTAGGGGCTCATACAACTCTTATCACAATCCATACATACATCAATTGTGTAAAGCACATTTGTACATTCATTGCCCT